TGCCAAGTACAATGTCATGAAGCTTTCCCAGTATGTTTTCTTCTAAGAGTTCAGTAGTTTTAGATCTTATGGTCAGGTTTTTATCCAATTTGAGTTAATTTTTGTATATGGTATAAGGTGAGAGTCTAACTTTAGTTTTTTGCATGTGGATATCCAGTTTTCCCAACACCATTTGTTGAAAAGACTGTCCTTTCTTCATTGAATTTTCTTGGCACCTGTATTGAAAATCATTTGACTATATATACAAGGGTTTATTTTTGGGTTGCCTGAATATTTTTAAATGGCATTCTTGAGTCATTCTCTTGTGTTTTCAATTTCAGCAAGCTTCCTACTAAGCAAGATAGGTGTTTAGGACTCTTATCAACCCTCACATATATATGTCTCCTCCCTCCAACTTTCCAATATAGTTATGAACACCCCATTTAAAATTTCAAGCACCCTATGCCTCACATTACTAGTACTCCTTATCTCTCCTTCTTCCCTGCTTTATTTTTCTCTGTAGCACTTACTATCATCTCATTTTATATTTTACCTAATTATTTTGTTTAATATCTGGCTCTCCCTCTAGTATGTAAGCTCCATGAAGACAAGCATACTTGATAGTTTTGTTCATTAATATTATTTCCAGCACCTAGGATAGTTCCTGCAACATAATACATGCTTAATATTTCTTCAGTAAAATAATGAATTTAAATCAATAATTATTATAAAATCTAAAGCTACACAGCGTACTATGAATACCTGTCCTTTATTGTACAACTTTTTGTTTTTACTAGAAAGAGTAATTTACCTTTATTCATTTACTTTGTTTTCTATGTGTTCATCATTAATTCTGCCCTGAACATTCTAATAGAATTATTTAAATCTCTATCATATGAATGTATCAGATAGTCAATCAGTCCCATTAATTTTTTTTAAATTCACCCTGGAGCCCTGTGTGTTCCTGCTCCAATCTAGAAAAGTTGCTGTCTAGATCTGGTTCACAACTGTTATTCCAGGACTTCCCTTCACCATCATCTTGGAATTTCCTTTGTTTACCTCCTCATTTTGGTGAAGCCTGCCCTCCAACATCTCCCTGCAAAAGAATGCATGGAAATACAATTTTAAGACCATGCATGTTTGAGTACGTCTTTATTCTGAACTCAGACTTGATTGATAATTTGGCTGGGTATAAAACTCCGTGTTCAATCATTTTCTTCAGGATTTTGAAGACATTGCTTCATCATCTTCTACTTTTATGTTTTGTGTTTGAGATCTGCGGCTTTCTTATCCTTTATTCTTCATATATAACCTATGCTTATTCTTTGGAAGTGTTTTGAATCTTCTCTTTTTTTTCTGATTGTTTTAAATTTTCATGATGACATGCCTTTGTGAGATCTTTTTTTAATTCAATGTGTTGGGCACTCGATATATCTTTTCAATCTGGAAACTCAGGTATTTCAATTTTGAGAAATTTTCTTATACTATTGCTTTGAAAATATTGTCTTCTATTTTTCTGTGCTTTCTCTTTCTGGGACTATAATAGCTGATATTGGACCTTCTGAATTTTTCCTCTTTATTCTGAAGGATTCCAGAATATGCCACCCTAAAATATGCCTCTTTTACCTATGGATTATTTTGGGCTGAAGGCAATTGAGATCCAGCAGATGCAGGAAAAGCTCTTTACTTCCCTTTAACTGCCTAAAAATAGAATATAAATTTCCCCTTCTATAAAGGAAGTTTCCATTTGTAAAATTGTCTCCACACCTGGAAGACAACTACTCCAGAAGACAACTGTTATCATCTGAGAGACTCTTATCTGCATAACAAGGCAACTTTTATTTACCATATGTTTCCTCCCCTCATTCTCCCATAACTTGCCTCTCTGGACCAGAAGCCCCAAATCCTTTTTCCTTTGTTTAGCCTAAGATGGTATATAAGCCTCAGTCATCTGGCTACCTCCTTGAGCCTCATTTCTTTGTGAAAGTCTCATGCATGTATACTTAATTAAATTGTTTTTTCTCTTGTTAATATGTTTGACAAGTTTAATTTCCAGGGCCCCAGCCAATGAACCTATGATGCGTAGAGGAAAAAGATTTTTTCCTCCCTTACAATTCCCAGCCAGAGGAGGCTTGTTTCAAAAGCCTCAATTTGGTTTTAGTTTTGTTTGTTTTCTTGACAAAATTATATATACTTAAAGTGTGCAATGTGATGATTTGATATACACATACATTGTGAAATGATTACAAAAATCAAGTTAATTAACACATCCATCACCTCACATAGTTAACTCTTTTTTGTGTGTGGTAAGAACACTTCAGATATACTCCTAGAAATTTCAAGTATACAATACCACATTACTAACTATAGTCACCACGCTGTATATTAGATCCTCAGAACTTACTCATCTTATAAGTGAAATGTTGTACCCTTTGACCTACATCTCCCCATTTCCCTCTCCACCCAGCACCTGGCAACCACCAGTCTACCCGCTGTTTCTGTGAGATCAGCTTCAAAAGTCTTGATTTGACTCAGAGCTCAGCCTGCTTGAGTTATGGCATGTAACATAACTAGACAGTTTTCTTTACAGAGTATTCATTTGCTAATTTAGCATACGTTGTTTTTCTATTGCGAACTATATATTAGCATTCTAATCTATATACTGAATATAGTTAAAACTGAACACCTCATGGCTTCAGCAAATCTTATCATCTTTTTATATTTGCTTCAGATCTTTATTTTAAGTAAAACATTACATATACAGTTAAAGCCGCCTTTGACCCTTCTCTAATCTCATTTGCTTCCTCTCCAGAAATAACCTCTCTCCTTAACTGGATAGTTATGATTCCCCTACATGTTTTATTCTTACTACAGCTGTATATTTCCATCCACAAGATTGTGGTATAAGAAAAAATATTGGTCTTTGTCCCCAGTTGCTGGCACAGAGCCCCTAAGACCTTTGAAATTTCCTCACTGATAGGAGTGTCCTTTGTTATTTGTAAGGAGCCCCTTTCAAGTGGCTGAGTATCTGAGTTTATGCAAATAAGGTGATTCTTGGGGTCCCCTAGATAGTTTCAGGATGTGGGGCTGGCAGCGAGAAAGAGCAAGCTTTCATGAGAAGGCTGGAACTTTCAGCTCCACCTCCCTCCGCCTCCAGGAGGAGAGAGGGCCTGGAGATTGTATTCAATTACCTATGGCCAATCACTTAATCAATCATGCCTATGTGATTAAACTTTCATAAAAACCCCTAAACCATGGGGTTCAGAGAACTTCCGAGTTGGCAAACACATCTCCTGCCTGGCGGATGGTACACCCTAACTCCACAGGGACGGGACTCCTGCCCTCAGGATGCTCTCAGACCTCGCTTTATCTGGCTGTTCATTTGCATCCTTTATAACAAACTGTAGTAGTGAATACAGCATTTTCCTGAGCCCTGTGAGTTGTTCTAGCAAATTATCAAATCTGGAGGGGGGTAGCACAGGAACCTCCAATTTGTAGCCAAGCTGAACAGAAGTGTGGGTAACCTGGGGACCCAATACTTGCAGCTGCATCTGAAGTGAGAGCAGTCTTGTGGGACTGAGCCCTTAAACCTGTGGAGTCTGAGCTAACTCCACATAATTAGTGTCAGATGGAATTGAATCGTAGGACACCCAGCTGATGTCTGCAGGGAACTGGAGAATTAGTTGGTGTCATAAAAAACCTCTAACAGATGTGTAGTATTATTTTTCATGTTTTAAACTTTATATAAATATCACAAAATATGTTCTTCTACAACTTGTTTTTTATGCTCAACAATTTTTTTTAGATTTATCTATATTGATTTATATAGCTATAGTTCATTAACTCTTGTATAGTTTTCCACAGAATGAATAATCTATCCTTTCTCTTGCTGGTAACCATTTGGACTGTTTTCAATTTTACTATTACCAAGAAGTCTGCAATAAACATTTTAAAGCATATCTCTTATGAAATTATGCAACGTCTCATAGAGTATGTGCATCTTCAACTTGAGTAGAAATTGCCAAATTGCTCTCCAAAGTGATTATTCCAATTTATACTCCATTAAGAAAGTATCAGTGAGGGCCAGCCCCAGTGGCCTAGTGGTTAAGTTTGGCACACTCTCAATTCCTGGGTGCAGACCTACACCACTCGTCTGCACACCACTCGTCTGTCAGTGGCCATGCCGTGGCAGTGGCTCACATACAAAAAGGGGAAGATTGGTAGCGGATGTTAGCTCAGGGTGAATCTTCCTCAGCAGAAAAAAAAGAAAGAAAGAAAGAAAAAGTATGAGAGTTCCTGATAGTCCTCATCCTCACCATGAGGAATATCCTCACCAAACTCTGTACTGTCAGACTTTTACGTCTTGCCCATCTGATGATTATGAAATGGTATTCCTTTGCTGTTTTGTTTTGTGTTCCCTGATTACTAATGAGATTGAGAAGCTTTACCCTTCAGTGTTCTCTGGACATTTAGGTTTCTTCTTCCGTGAATACCCTGTTCACGTGCCAATGTTAATGTACTAGGGAGTTGATGTCTTTTGTTTTTAACTGACTTGTGAACATTTAAAAATATATATGGACACTAACCCTACACTAGATTTTGATAGTCCCTTTATTTTTAAAATAATATATTTATTTTGAATTATAAAAATAATACATATTTATTATAGAAAATTTGGGAAATCAGAAAAACATTATAAAGAAATTTAAAATCCCCTGTGATCAACCGTCCAAGGATAATTACTATTTTCTCTCTGGGATCTATCCTTAGAGTGTTTTCTTACCATGCATCTATACTTTTTTGTTTTGGAAAACTAGGATTGTTTTATACACACGCATCTACTTTATTTTTTCACATTTAATTTTTCACTTGTGTGTGTCTTTGCTCCTCAGTTAGATGGTAAGATCAATAATGTTAAAGGCCATATTTTTTACTGCTCTGAGTCTTACATAGCATCAAGCAAAACGTTTTTCCTTCAGTAGAAATCTACTAGATATTGATTATTGTTTCCTCTACTGCAGGACATCCAGATGTGAATGGTGCCACGGTCCCAAGTTTGGTGAAGGTTTTCGCGTCATCCGATCCTTCGATATCTTTGGAGCAACACACCTACCCGTTATGTTTCATGTCTGTTCTTCTTCTTGCTATAGAAAAGCAAAGGAAAGCAGTTTTGTTGTAGATAACATTCCTGGTAAAAGAACAGCTCTAAATTCCGAGTTGAGTCAGGCGCAGATTTATGAGTCCCACTTGAAAAGCCATTAAAGTGTATGTATACGGTAATTCATTTGTGTATGTATACGGTAATTCATTTGTTTGAGAGTACAGGTTCTGGATGGAAGACCTAAGTGTCTTCTCAAGTGAATCCTCTTTGTAATCCCAGCTTCTTAAGAAAGTTTGTGATTGTTAGGGAATTGTTGCATAATCATTACTTAACAAGGATTAGTAAAGGTCTTTGGATTTCAATGAAGATCTAGAAAATTTCTTTCAGAGCATGTTTACCATAAAAAGAAAAATCTTAGAATCCTTTGCAAAAAAGATGTATCTTACTGACCCTTTCAAGCTTTCATTCTAAGTGATAAGCTAGCATTTCAAAGTCATCAGTGGAGTTTGTGCCTCGTACAGTTTCAAAGTCCCGTACCCAGGTCCTCAATGTTTGTGCATTTCTGTGGAAATCTGTCCAGTTCCAGTGATCTCAACTGTGGATTACTTTTGGGAATAAAAGATTAATTCCAGTCCTATCTTAGTTGTTTGAATTCATTACCCAGGCTCTTAGAAAACTGGTACAATCTCTCAGTTATCTTGACCTTCCTTTCATAAAGCTTGATTCCAGGGGCTAGTGCCAGCAGCAACGGGTCTTCAGTAATAGGCTGGCAAGAAAATAAAATAAAACTTACAAAATTACATTGCAAAGCAATATACACATACAAGCCAACTTGAGGCTTTAAGAATTAGTGTTTAGTAAGAGGAAGGAAAAAGAGCATTTTGATACAACAAATAATTTTAGAATGGCATGGAATTGTTTCATATATAGCATATCTTTTATGTGCAGTTAACTTAAATCTAAACTGTTGTTGCTAATTCAACTTGAAGAAATGAGATGATTTAAATTTACACAGCTATCTTATCATTAGAGAATGTCAGAAAATACACATTATGTCAGGTTTGTGTGTATCATTTAGTAATATCATTTAAATCAAAGATAAAATAAACCAGGCAAAATAATTTTTCTGGCTATTGATTTCAATAAATTGGAATGCTTGTATTCTTCTCCTTGAGACTCAGTCTGATTTTAAGCAGAAATAGGAAAACTTTGCCTGAGAAGTACACACCGTAATCTCCAGCAAAATAATAAAATTATTTATATTGAAGAAGTAACTACCACATCACACACATAGTCCAGAAGAGGGTATTTATAGCATGATAACAAATAAATACATTAAAAATGTAATATACCCATAATTATAAAATAAGATAAAAAATAAGATTAAATCCTACTGGCATATAACCTATTAATACTCACCCTTGTCCCTGAAATGTTTCTTGGAGAAAGAAGTACTTTTTTTAAATTAAAAAAATGTTGATTTTTGGTTTGAGTAGCTGAGTGGTGTCACATTGAGCTAGGGAATAAACAAGAAAAAATAGGTTTCAAGGGAAATTACAGTATCTTCGAGATACTGCAGAGAAACGAATAAACCTAGACATTTGGACAAATATGAGATATACTTAGAGCTCAATCTCATGATTTCCTCATGGTTAGTATAAACCTTGAATCTAAGTGATCTCTTCTTGATCTTTTAAAAAATAACTTATGGTGTGTTTTTTAAATATGAATGTAAGACACACTTATCACAAAAATATTTGAAAATAGGACTAAACCTAAGAAGAAAACAAAATCCCCCTTGTCATGCCACCACCCAGTGAAAACCAGAGATAATCATGTTCACATGTATATGTGTATATGCACACATTTATATAATGTATTAGTCTTTTTAAAAAATGGGATTATCTGCCTCACACCACACACAATTTATTTCCAGATTCCTAAAGGTCTAAGTTGAAAATACAAACATAAAGAGATAAATGGAGTCTTAATAAAGAATCAGAATGAGAAGGATCATTTTAAGCAGGAAATGAAAACCAAAGGAAAAGATAAACAGATTCACTATGTAAAAATTTTGAAAATTCCTGTACCGCCAAAACCACCTTTATGGCACGCACTTAGGAAAACGTCTGTAACACACATGACTGACAAAGAGCTAGGCTATTAACCAAGGAATCTTGTGAATGACAGAAACCCACTTGAACCAGCTCAAGCAGCAAAAGGTAATGTGAGTATGAGTTTGTGCGTTTGTCTTCAGGCAGAGCCAATTCAGGAGCTCAAACTCTGTCATCAAGGCATTATCACTTTTTCTGTCTGTCTGTCTATCTATCTATCTATCATCTGTCTGTCTATCTATCTATCTATCTATCTATCTATCTATCTATCTATCTATCTAATCATCTATCTATCTATCTATCTAATCATCTATCTATCTATCTATCTATCTATCTATCTATCTATCTATCTATCTATCTATCTATCTCTTAGCAACACTTTAAGTTTGCCTCATTTCCAGGTAGCAAGGATGGCCACTGATGATTCCAGGTTTATGTACTGGAATGTCAGGAACCTCAGAGAAAAATGCACCATCTATCACAACTGTTACTGTAAGACATATTAGGGATGACTTTCATTGGCTCAACTTCGGTCATATGTCCATTTATGAACAAATCATTATAGCCTCATCGGTGGAATGCTCTGATTGGTCACATCTCTGGAACTGGGAAAGGGGGAATTAGCCCCTCCGAAAACACATGAAATACGTTCTTCACTAGGAAGAAGAGTTCTGGAACTGATAATTGAGGAAAGGAAAGGAAAAATGGGGCAGCTAAAATCTGGAATTATCAGAGACCTCTAAACTTCCTAATGTCCAATAAGCCATTACAAATAAAAATAACAACAAAAAGATGAACTAAATAATTAAATAGTGATAATCAAAATTAAATGTATGTATTTTTCATCATAATAATTACAAGAAATTGTTCAAAAATATTTTCTACGTGTGTGCAAAAATATATCCAAGGATATTTACTGCAAGGATATTTACTGCAATAGTGAAAAATTGGAAACATTCTAAGTTTTCATCAGCAGAAAACTGGTTAAATATGTAAATCCAACAAGGTAATATCACTCAGCCATTTAAAAAATTAGATAGCTCTGTTTTCACTGACATGAAAAGATATCTACCAAGTGTTTTTGAAGGAATATTTACTAGGTAATATAATCACATAATCCAAAAATCAAAAGGTACAAAAGAGTATACCTTAAAAATTCTTTAACCCCCATGCCCTGTCATTCATTTCCCTTCTCAGAGGCAAACAATGATACCAAGCCTTTTGTATTCTTCCAGGATATTTTACACATATATAAGCTAGTAAATAAATATATTTCTTTCCAACTATTTATACAATATTAACTTAGTATATACTCTTTTTCTGCATCGTTCCATTTAATATTATCACAGAGGTAGTTCCACATCAGTACATTATTAGCTTACATTATTTTTATGATTGCATATTATTCCATCAAGCAACGTATACAGTTTATTTTACCAGTTTGCTACTAATGGATTTTTAATTTTTTGTAACCTCTTACCACGAAAAAACAAATGTTGCAAGGAATAACCTTGTCATTTGCACATGTTTAGACATATCTGTGGGATAAATCCCTAGAAGTGAAATTGCTGAGTCAAAATGTATGTGCATTTATATTTAATTGGGAGTTGGGGAGAATATATAATATGTTTATTTTATTTACTTTTGAATAAGTAATACTAGTATATTGAACCCAATTCAAAAAGGATTTAGGTAAGAGTGAAAAGTAAGTCTACTCTATCTTCATTTCTCGCAGATGCCATTCTCAGAGGCAAACATTGCTATCAGCTTCTTGTACTTGCCTCTAGAGAAATTCTAAGCACATACAAGCATGCAGCTATATACAGAAGAATCTCCCTTGTTCCAGTAGATTTTTAAAAATTTTTTGATTTATATTCTATAGCAGCAACATTAGCATCATTTGTAAGCTTCTTGGAAATGTAGATTCTCAGATCCACCCCAAACCTGCTAGATCAGAATCTCTGGGGCGGGTATCCAGGAATCTTCATAATTACTGGCTCTCCAAGTGATTCTAATGCTCACTAAAGCTGAGAATCACTAGCCTCCAGAGGTCAGAAAGCTCATACCAAGATGTTGGCTGAATAAGAGATGCAATATACTTTATTGTGTTCTCATTTAGTCTCAGTCATACACTGTCATCATTGAGATCTCATCTATAAAAATTATCCCAGGAATGCAGGACAGGTTTGTTTTTATTAGTGCCATGGAGTTGATTCTGGCTCCCAGTGACCCTGTGTACAGCAAAGCTGTACCCTTCCCAGTCTTTCACCTCTCGCCTTCTGGCACTGTATCAGACAATGCTCAGCTGCTATTCATAGGGTTTTTATGGACAATTTTTTCGAAAGTGTGTGGCCAGGTCCTTCTTCCTAGTCTGCCTAAGTCTGGAAGATCCACTGAAACCTGTCCACTATGGGTCACTGTGCTGGTGTTTGAAATACCAGTGGCATAGCTTTCAGCAGCATAGCAACACGCAGCCACCACTGTATGACAACGGAGAGATGCATGGTGTGGTTCCTTGACCCGGAAATGAACCCAGGCAGTGGCTGTGAGAGCACTGAATCGTAACCACTAGACCGCCAGGGCTGGCTAGGACTGGTTTAACACTCAAAAAGCAATCAGTGTAAGCCACTGGGCATCCACCATAATTTCCAGAACTCCATGAACACCAGAGGTGGGAGACTAGAGATGGGTGAATATTTCTATTTCTAGGTTTTCATTATTCTTGTCCAAAACACCTCAATAAATAGGCTCTTTTTCCCCTCTTTCCTTTGCGTCACTTGCTTTGCCTTTCATTTCTTCTCTTTTCTTCCTCCCACACTTCCTCTTTTTATTGCTTTCTTTGGGTCTTTATTTTTTCCTATCTGTTTCTCATTCCTGATGTAGAGAGTGCCTAATCCAATGTAAACATGAAGGAGGACTAGGGGTAATGGAAATTGTCTGTCTGTAAAATACTCAAGATAAGCCCAGAGTCGTCCTGTAACAATGAGCATGCGTGTGTGTGTGCATCTGTATACACACAGAAAAAGGTTGGAAGAAACAGTCTGAAT